GCTGAGAGGAGAACAACCAATATAAACTAAAAAGCAGGGCTGAAATGAAATGAAAATCCACAGGGCTGTGGAATGTCAATAAAAGTCTGAAGATGTGAGTGCTGTCAAATCTTTGTGCAGGGGAAAAAGTCTTTGCCTTTTATGCAACTTCATGTGAATTACTTTCCTGACTGAGATCATGGGCTGATGGATCTAAAAGGGTACACTTTTTTTATTATATCAACAAAAATATTTTTCAATTCTGAACAGTAAATCCCACCCCCTCCCCAAAATTTCTGGCATAGAGCATGACTGTGCCAGCAGTTGGCTCCACCTGGATGACAAGATCTACTGCAACAAAATAACGGTAGAAATTATTATCCATGCTCTTCAGAGAAAGGTTTAAAATTATTAACATCAAGACATTCTCTGAAACTTCTCAGTGCTTCATTAATTTTTGAGGCTGTGAAGGTTGAAAAATGAAAGAACATCTGCATTAAATGAGATTTTGTATAAATTACCCTCTAAAACGCACCAAAAATGAATTTGAAGGCAGAGATCCCAAGGCCAGTTTGCTTTCCTCTTACTTTCTCTTCAATTATCTTGTCTGAGACATATAAAAAAATTAATTGGACTAGTAAATGTCTCTTATCAATGTATTTGGGGAGGAGGGGGACAGAACAAGAAAAAGGTGCTTGTGGTTACATATATAGGTGAGCAAGACAGAGAAGTGTTTATGTGTGTGGAACCCAACAAAAGCAGAACACAGACTAGTAATGGTGTCCCAGAAATGTCATCAGAAAAGGGCACAGATGTAAGATGCTGAGGGAAGAAGTTTGTAACAATGTGAAATGGTTTAAGTGGCTTCTCATCACAAATCTCATGACCACAAATATTAACTGTGGATTGACATATTGCTATTTATTTTTCTTGTAAATTATGCATGGGAATGACTCAATTTGAGTCTTATACCTTTGGCATGAAGACACTGGTCAACATGTGTCCCTGTGTCAGAGAAGACATGAAGATATTTGCATTTACACATTTGCCCCAAAGAAATGATAGTTTTCAAACATATATAACCTTTCCTACAGTGATGTTTCTCATAAAGCTGTTACTGAACTGTGTATCATAACTTAGGGCAGAGTGGAGTTTTATGAGAAGTTTTGCAAGGTTGGGCATCTTGACTCAGCCCCCCAAACTCTAGTGAAAGTTCATTGCTTCAGGCATTCATTTAGAAAATAAGAGCTCCATTCTGCATGCCTTTGCTCCTTGCATTTACACTGACATGAAATGGGCTATGAAGCTTTCTGAAGCTTTGTGAAAAGCATTCTCCTAACTTTAACTGTGCTGACGTACAGGGTGTGGGGCAGTAGAGAACCAGGGACACTGTGTGTCCTCCCTCCACAAAACCTGTCCCTTGGTCACTTAGTCCCCACTGCACTGAGAGTATTTGCACTGCTGCTGCTGGTGGCAGTGCAGTGGGTGGCTGGTGTGCCTAACTGCAAGGGAGAAGAATTCCCACTATGATTCATTGTGACTCAGAAAACCGCATGGGGATCCTGGATAGCTCTTGGTTTGCTCACTGAGGCTTGTGCTATAATTAATTATGGCTTTTTTCAGCTGGACATAATCTTTGTCTTGTTTTGGGAGTGTTTGTGCTAACAATTGTTCTTTCCAGACAAGGAGCAGAGCAGTTAGCAGAAAGACAAGACTGAGGGTTGAGAAATTAGGAAGCAAGTAGATTAATCCTGGTGTGAATTTCTGAACAAATGCTATGGAGAAGGTAAATTGAGCTCAACAAAACATTAGATTAAATTCATTAGTAATTAAAAACAACAACAGCTGCAGTCTAAAGAAAAATGCTGGCGATGTGTAAAGCTCTGCCATTAAAATGTATAGACACTGACCCTCTTTAAATTCATAGAGAATGCTCTTTACTTAGCTATAAAGGTTTAATGTAACTTAGCAGATCTGAGTTACTTCAGGAGAGCTTTAATGCTTGGCAGGTCTCTACATTTTATTTATGATATCAAAGCTGCAACTCAGATTTTTACTCAGTGGAAGACATAAAAGAGATTCAGAAGTCATCCAAATCATCTTGTAATTAATGTTACCATGCACGCCCAAGACATTAAAATGTTAACAGTGTTAGAATCGTGTGCTTTGGAATACAGAGTGAGGGCTTTATTAGAGAGAAATACACTGCAGATGTCATCCACCCTAATTGAGGACATTGGGTTGCCTGCTGCTTGTTCTTATCAGTGGTTCAGATTTTTTTTTTAATTAATTCATTTTCCTTACTGCTAGAATCTGCTCTCATTATTAGTCTATCTTGTCACTCATTTGCATTTCAAGTGCTGGGACTGTGGGGTACCAGCTAGCTGCCTTAGAAGAACACTTCAAGGGGTTACTCTATCAAATAGCAGCACAGTATCACAGTGAATTTGACATCTGGGTTATCTTATTCCCAGATGCTCCATGGTGTCATTAGCAGGATTAATCTTAGCTTTAATTTCATAATGATTCTTATTCTAATATATGTGAATGAACACAAAGTCTCTTGACTCATTATCACCAATTTACCCAAGATATGTAATCAGGCTCTTACATTCACCAACATTTATTTTTGCTAATACATCTAAAATTGTAGATTAAGCAAATACAGTTAGTTCCAGCTGAGTGAATGCCTAGTGAGGTAGCAATGTAGTATTTATGTTTTAATTAAAGTATATTAATTATAGTGTCTTTTAAATACATACTGATCAAGTTCTTTCTGGTGAAAACAATCATTTATTGTTCAAGTACTAACAACTTGTAAATTTAATAGCGGCACCTTTCTATGACTATTTATTATTTGTAACCATTTAGAAATTATTCCAGATCTCATTTTATAGCGTAATTTTAACCTTTCAAGATTAGGACAGAACACTTCATTCTTAAGAAAAATCTCTTGACTTCCCAAAGCAGACAGAATTACATTTTTCAAGTTCAATTAAAATTTAAACTGAAATACATTTTATATTGAAACTTTGATTTTAATTCCTGTTCTAAATTGTGCTGTAATGCAGAATGCAATTTATTTTTACAGCTAAGCAGACACACAAGGTCCACCTCCACATCACACAGAGTTTCATAATCCAGTGCATTTTTAAATTGCAAGGAGAAAGCAAAATGTGAAATTCCTGTGCACTTTTTTTACAGTGTTGGACTAAGTTTTTCATTTACCAGCTGTTGTAGCACAGCAGTAAGTAGTGGTTCATTATTGATGGATAAAATGTTCAAACATTTAAAGAAATGAAAGTCAGCTTTGAATTTTTAATTAATTAATTAAAAGTACTGCAAATGCCAGCTTGTTAATTGCTTTGCACCTGCAAGCCAACACAGGTTTTATGCACTCTTTCTTTGAATATTAATTTTTTTGCATGTCTTCATAATGCTTGGAAAGTCTCCCCTGCAAACATATTAGTAAAGAGTAAATATTGAATCTAAGACAAAACTCACGGCTTCATCTTTCACTGTACACAGAATAGGATTTAAAGGAGGATTTAGATTTCCAAGGCTTCTAATTAAGTAGTGATAATCAGGCTTTCTGCTGAGGGTCACTTCCTGGGAGTAATTTGAGTTATTAAAATGCATGTTTTTATTTGTTCTGCTTTGCGAGCTAAAACTGATCCCTTTTAATATAGCAGCAAATATGCAAATTGGTGTTTCATTATATTATGCAATTTATGGCAATCTTCTCTAATTTACTGAAAGGGCAAGAGCCTGACCTTGTCATTCAACTTTTTTTCCTGGTAAGCTAAACTAATTATGTGGATCTTTTTATGAAACTCTGGAAGTATGCAGCACAGTAAAAAATGTGACAAATTTACCTTGATTATTCATCAAGATGGCCTCGATTTTGCTTGAATCCTCATTCAGGGTGATGGATAATTTAAACTTACATATAGGAGCCAATTTGTTTCAGGGTCTGAAAATGGCTTTCTTTTTTTTTCACAGAAATCCTGGAAAGAGCATCTGAAATCATTGAAATAATAAATGTCAGAATTTGAGCTATGGACTAAAAAAAAGTTCATTAAAAATACTTGCATGATGTATTATGAATTGATATCATGATTTTTCTCTGTGCTGTCCTTCAATACAACTTTTCAGCCAGGTTTTTATTAGTGATACAACGTTCTGCATTTTCACTTTTCTTTTAATAACTTTTCATTTTAGATTTAACAAACTCACCATTCTTTAACCTTTTCTTGGCCTCCTCCACCAAGAAGTGTTAAGAAGTTCTCTCTGACCAAGTCAGGAAAGCATGGCTTAGTCGTCTGTGATTCTCAGGAAAGTTCTACAATTGCTTCTACAGTGCAGAGCTGAAGGGCTGTCACTAGTGATGTCCCCCAGCGTTCAAAGCTGGGCCCGGTATTTCCAGCTTATTTATCAGTGCCTTGCAGGAAGGGGCAGATGCCTCCTGAGCACTTGGCTGAGGACACAAAGCAGGCAGGAGAGGCTGATGCCCAGGGCTGTGCAGCCCTTCAGAAGGGCATCCACAGGCTGCAGAGAGGGGCAGGGAAGAACCACCTGAGTTTTACAGAGGAAATGCAGGGTCCTGCTCCTGGGGAGGAGCAATAACCCCAGGCAGCAGCACAGGCTGGGGCTGAGCTGCTGGAGAGCAGCTCTGCAGAGAACTCTGGGGGTCCTGGTGGACAACGAGCTGCCCGTGGGCCAGCAGTGCCAACAAGGACAGTGTCAGGAAGAGCACTGTGAGAGGCTCAAGGAGCTGAGCCTGCCCTCACTCAGAGCCACTGGGGCACATCTGAAGCGCCGTGCCCGGCTCTGGGCTCCTCATAAGGACACACAGGGAGCTCCTGCACTGCTCTGGCAGAGGACAGCACAGGTGAGGAAGGGACTGGAGCATCTCCCCAAGAAAGGCTGAGGGAGCTGGGGCTGCTCAGCCCAGAGAGGACTGGGGGCACCTCACCAGAGTCTGGGAGGTGGCACAGGGTGGGCTCTGCTGGCTGGTGCCAAGCAATAGCACGAGAGGTAATGGGCAGACACTGATGCACAGAAGTTGCACCTGAACACAAGAAGAATTTCACTGTGGGGGTGACTGAGCACTGGAACCGATTGCCCAGAGGCAGTGGAGTCTCCCTCTCTGGAGATACTCCAGAACTGTCACGATGCCATCCTGGGCACTGTGCTCTGGGATGACCCTGCCTGAGCAGGGAGGTTGGACCAGATTATCCATTGTGCTTCTTTCCAGCCTTGCCAGAATTCTGTGGTATTTTTGATAAATACACCTTCTTTGGCACCCTCTGGGCTGCTCAGCCCTTGCAGTCCCAAAACTTTTCTTTTGACTCTTCTGCTCTGTAATAACCCAGAGTCATGGGATCATTTGGGCATGTTTTAAACTTTGGCTGATGAGACTGATTTGAGTGATGAGACCGGACCAGAAGAGATGCAGGAACAACATTGTAGATACTAAAATCCTGAAAATATTCTAGTTGGAGCAGTCTTGAGAGAACAGCTGGTCAATAACCTGAACTGAGTCAGGAATGGAAATACCTTGTTTGTTACCAGCAGGTATTTATCTTATTTATTAAAAAAACCTCAACCTTAGTAAAGGAGATTTGACATCTCTAATTTACATTCTTTATTTTCCAAGCTTATTTCAATATTTTTTTTCTTTCCTATGTTGCAAATTGGGCTGATCTCAGATTTTGCAAAGATCAACTGTCAGGCTTCCTCTATGCTGGAAGAAAAGACCTAGAGCACAGAATCAGAAAGTTGTTCTCTATGTGTGTTTAATCCATGAAGTTGAACACAATTCCCCCTTGACCATGATGACTACTATAACTTTGCAGACATCACTTCTCTCCTGCTTTTCTTTAAACACAACATGTATTTGTAATGCAGGTGAAGCCTTAATACTGTGTATCAGCTAGAAAACAGTTGTAATACTGTGCTTCAACACTGATCTCTTGGCTGTGGCTTGGACTGTAAGCTAGCCCAGCAGTGTTCATTGCAATCTGTAGTTTAAGTTTGTCCTTTCTCTATAGCAATGATCTACCTTCTGTAGGGAAAATGTTCTAGGGATACCATGCAGTCTGCACAATGGTTAAAAACAGATTACTTAAAAACAGGTGCTTTACTTTGCAGAGGGAGGAGCACCAATGTATTCACCACCTGCTGGAATGATAGTTTTGGCTTATCCAGGTCTTGTCAATTAAGGACTCCCTTTATTTAAAGCATGTATATTTGCATTGCAGGCCAATACTCAAATTGTGACAGCGATTTTTTTATGCCTTGGGTTCGGTTTATTTCCAAAGCAAGCTTTATCTTCAAGATTTTAGCTAGCTTGAAGCAGTGTTTTCATGGATTTCTTTGTTTTTTGGAAATGAGGGTGAACAATTGGCATGTTCTGATGTGGTGGTGAATTTTGATGATGTCAAACCTGACTAGAGAGAGAGAGAAATCCTTTATAGTGAACAATAAATTAGTCTGTTAATTACTTAATTCCCAGGCACATAAAAGAGTCCTACAAGCATTGGCAGAGCGACTGAATAACTCCCAGGTTCAGGCTTTTTAGTACCATTATCTTATAATTGCTGATTGGCACAGGGTTCTGCTTGCAGTTCCCAAGGGGGGTCAGCAGTATGTGTGGCTTGGTGGTGAGGACTCCTAGGCAGCGATTTATGCAGTGGTTTTGATAGATGGAAAAAAGCAGTAAGAATTTATTAGCCCAGTATCATTGTTGGGAGGCTGGAGCATATGAATTCCCTTGCCAACAAATGAAAAGAATAAAACTGGAATGAGAAGAGTGGCAATTCAGAGGCAATAATTTACTCTAGGAAAAAGGTAAAAATATTTGCCCATGTTTGGCAGGTTTCTCATTTTGCTCTTTTTTTTACTAGTGACTATGTCAGGAGAAAGGCAAGTATCACTAACTGGAGGAGAAAATTAGTGGTGTATTTAAATGTTTCATTGTAATGTCCCTTGCTAAGTGAACCTCCATTTAATGTTTAAAGGGCTAAAAATGCTAAGTACACATCAATAAAACAACATAGTTTTAACATCTAATTAAGTTTTAACTTTGAATGCACACAGTTGTCTAAGCCACTACTCTAATTAGTGCCTGTCTTTTTCTTGTTGTTTAGCAGTTAGCTAATTTATTTGTAATGACTAATGAAGAGACTGAAAAAATATACATCCTACTGCCAATAGAAACCTTCTTGCTGCTCCTCTGTAATACTTAAAAAAAATTAGTTATTTATTTTAGTTTAATCTTGCTCCCCCAGTTCATTAGGATGCTCCAGGAGGTTACAGAGTACAATGTTTTGAATGCTCAGGACTCCCAGGCAGTCATGTTAAACCATGTTAGTACAGAACTTGTCTCCTGCTCTTGGTAACCCGTATTAAGGAATTCAGGTTTATTATAAAGCTGAACTCTCTATTGCCAAAGGCTCTATAATTGTGAAACAGTCTGTTCTCCTGTTTGTGTTATTCTTTCTCATCCTGAGCTTATTTATTTTAATAATATTTTGGAAGCTAAAAAAGTACTGGCAGAATTCATATTAATATGTTGTTATTAAGAGAGACAGACCTTTAATTGCAGGCAGTTAACACAAAATCTGTTGGCAATGTCTTGAACAGAATGATAGCATTTAATCATTTTTATCATTACAGTAGTGATGTTTTCAATGTTATTGCAAAGGGTGTTGTGTATTTTTATGATAAATTCTTAATTTAAGGGTTTATAACTTAACTGTAAAAATATGCTCCAGGCAGAAACGTGATATACAAATTCTGAATGTGTAACTGAAGGTTGTTTCTAGTTTTAAAAGAAACAATAAACCCAGGTCCTTGTGAGCATTTGATAGGTATGAACTGAAATTCCTGCCAGAAAATGACCTTTATTGTGAAGGATCTTCTGTTATTTTTCTTGCTTAACAACCCTGCCCCAAAATGCACACTCCAGTACAAAGGAAAAGAAGTTTAATTTAGTGTTAAGCATTCTCAGTGTTCTGCACCTAAACCAGAGTGATTTGGAACTTTGTGAAGAAAACTTTTGTAAAGTTGAAGGGTGGGGGCGGGGGGGTAGTTGCAAAGGAAGCCTCTTCTACTCTGAATATTCTGTGTCAAATCAACGATTCTCTGTAGTATTAAAAAATTTAATGCAGACCCCTAGAAGGTGGAGCTATTTTACAGAAGTGTTGGGGGAAAAGAAGGCAAAATAGTATTTTTCCTAGAAATGTAGTAGGCTCTCAGGAAAGAGAAAGTCCCACAAATCCAATTAAATCCATCAGACTGATCTGGTACAACTGAGAAAAGAAATTAAACTTAGCAATTATGACCTTAAGCCAAGAGCCATGTGCTGAGGCCTGGGCACTCTAATTTCACAGGGCAAAGTGGCTCCTTAGTGAAATGACAGTCTGGTGTGCAGCCTTTTAGCACACAAGTCACTAAGGACTAAAGGGTACCTGTGTGTCTTCCAGGTAACTTTTGCTCTTCATCAGTTGGCTTTGGTGACAGCATTTACACACCTGATAGATCAGACATCCAGACAAATGTAACTGTGCTATAGTGATCTGTGCTGTGAGTGCCACTCCGTGGGCATGCAACACAGAATGCTGGTTTTCTGTTTGATTTTGACAGTTTTCTCCACTTGTGAGCCAGCAGATGGGAGAACAGGATCTGGATATCTGTGTGATGTTAGAAAGTACAGGTGAAACACAAAGAACCACTTCACTGAGAGCTTTGCTGCATTGGAAACCAAGCTGGAAGGACCTACTGTCCCAGAGAAGCAAATAGCAGTGAGGAATTTGAGCTGATGTGGCAGCAATTGGTTCTCTACCCAGAGAGAGGGAGCAGGGAGAGGGGCTTGAGCTGTGTAAAGCCATGGACCAAGCTGTAGGGCTCACAGGTCTGCCTCCTACAAACCTCCCTGGGAAATGGGTGAGTTTCAGTGGGGAACTGATACCCACCTTCCTGTGCAATCTCTGATCTGAATGTAGATGTGCACAGACTCATGGTGACAGCCATAGCCCATAATTGTAATGAGGTGCTCAAACAGGCTGACTACTTTTCCAAAATCACTTTCCTCTTCCCTCTGGCATATAGGCATTTGGTCTATACCTTGGACCTAGGTCCTCTTGACAGTATTAGCTGTGGCTGGTTAATAAAGTAAAAAAGTGTTTGAATCTTTTTAATCCTGTTATTTTATTTTTTAAATTTTTTCATCATGTAAACCTTCAAGATCAACATAGACTTTCCTTGTGCCTCAAGATGTTGAATTTTCTGGTTCATATGCAAGTTCTTCTGTGTTGCAACCAGTTAGTAAGAAAGGTACAGAAACATGCTGGAATTCCAGATGGAGAATTGAAGGATGTCAGTTGTGCCATACTCTGAAATGTGTTCTTCTGTATTTTTCCATCACACTGAAGAAGTTTGGGAAATTTGAATGCTGTAAAGCCACTGTTGTATGTCCTTTAATCACACAAATCATGAAAGGGGGAACTGCTGTACTATTCTGGAGTTGAAGCTTACCATTCATGAAAAGATAGCAAAGTGAAGGTGATAAATTTGAACTTTTTAATTCCGAGGAATTCACTGAGAAATACTTCTTTTCCTTCTCTTGTTGGTACTTGCCACTGTGCTCTTTGTTACTGCTGGTAGGCTGTTGGCCCTCTGTGGTGGGGACTCCAGATTTTGTGTATTTCATTGGCCCAAACTGGGAAACTATGGGGCTTGGAAACAGAAGGAGAAAAATCAAGGAAAATAATGTATTTTTAAGTTTGTGGGAACAATAGAGAAGACTGAGATTCACCTTCCAGAAGATGGACTTAAAATGGTGGAAATTGATTTGGTTCCTTCTTGGAATCAGCAGTGCTTGATAGACCTCATGTATATGTGCTCTTAGGAAATTACTTTCATGCCTGAGCTAGCAGTAGGTCCTGACATGGTGTATACCTTGACTTATTGTCTTAAAGAGAGTTAAAAATATAGAAAGTAAACTTTGCTGCCTGATATTTGTATTGACAACATTGGGCTATTTTCTCCCCAGACAATGAAAACAAGAAGCTTGTTTTTCTGGAGGAG